TCAAATTTGGTGGAGATTGCTGAGCAAAAAAGGGTTAAAATTAAGGTTTGTGGCTAATTTTATTAATAGAATTTCGATGTTGATCACCAAAAAATTTCGGAAAATACACTTCCCAATCGTTTAATGTGACAAATCATTTGACTATTATTAATAGAGAGTTATTAAATGAATATTAAACAGTTTAATTGGATACATTAATATTAATATTAAGAATTTCATTTTAAGAAAATAATTTTGGAAACAAAATCAGGTGACAATCTATTTCTACTATGGTTGGCTCAGTCTAAAAACCAGGGCTGGCTGCGTAACTCTAACTCAATTTGACAAAACTTCAGTCAATTTTAATTTCAGTCTAGTCACGTTTGGCGAAACTGAAACTAGTGACTAAAGTTTGGTCAGTTGATGAAAGTGTAAAACCCTAATATAGTAGTGATTGTCTTGGTTATTTATCCCGTTACATTTTTAATTATAGTAATGATAATAATGATAAAAAGTCTTGATTAGACATTAATGTTGCAACATCTCTATTTGTAATCACATTCCTATTTTCCTCAAGAATCTTTTTTAATAATAAATTATAAGTTACTACTATTCATAAATTAAGTAAATAAAATAAAATAAAATAAAATGGATCATAAAATTACCTTTGCAAAAACTGGTTGGCATACTAAAACAGAATTTATTGTATCAAACAATGACCCCCAACGTATCTTGGAATATGACACAAGAAAACCACCAGATATATTCATTGGTTCCAGACCTTCATGAAGCAATGCATTTCCAATGTGAGACTTTTTAAAAAAACTCACCAATTTTCCAACTTTTGAAATTATTTCAACCACAAATTTATTTTTGCTATATCAGTAGCAATCAAATTAATTGCGTGCGCAATACATTGTACATTGAAAATATGTGGAAATGAATTACAGATATTTTTTCTTGCACCTTTGATGTTGGATGCATGATCAGTCACCAAACCACAAAAATTGCTGGGACCAATTTCTTCTAAAATTGATTTGATTTCAGAAGTCAAAAAATCAACTGTTTGTGATACTATACTATAGTTTTTTAATTTGAATAAATATTCTTCTTTGCTTTGTGTAAGGATTACAAAACTATACAGCACTTCACCAGATGGGGTTGTCCACCCATCAATAGCTATTCATTAATGAATGATATAACAAAAAATTTGAAATTTACAAATTAATAAATAAATTAATAAAAAAAAATCTTGAAATTTACATTTTGATTTACATTAATATTAGCATGTAACCTGCTGTGAAAATTTTCAACATAATATTCATTGAAATTAACAAGA